CTCACCTGTCTCACCTGTCTCACCTGTCTCACCTGTCTCACCTGGTCCCTGCCTGTCTCTCTCTCAGCGTGGTGTCTTCGTAGTGAAGGCGTCAGCTCGGTTCTCCTCGGAGTGTCCAACACAGAACAGCTGCTGGAGAACCTCGGTTCTATCAGGGTACTGGAACGTAACCCGCGACACTCACAGTACAACACCCTGTAGTAACTATATATTACAGTTACTATATAGTAACTATATATTATAGAGTACTTTATACTGCAGTACAGTTACTATATAGTAACTATATATTATAGAGTACTTTATACTGCAGTACAGTTACTATATAGTAACTATATATATAGAGTACTTTATACTGCAGTACAGTTACTATATAGTAACTATATTATAGAGTACTTTATACTGCAGTACAGTTACTATATAGTAACTATATTATAGAGTACTTTATACTACAGTACAGTTACTATATGGTAACTATATATTATAGAGTACTTTATACTGCAGTACAGTTACTATATAGTAACTATATATTATAGAGTACTTTATCCTGCAGTACAGTTACTATAGTAACTATATATTATAGAGTACTTTATACTACAGTACAATTACTATATAGAAACTATATATTATAGAGTACTTTATACTGCAGTACAGTTACTATATAGTAACTATATATTATAGAGTACTTTATACTACAGTACAGTTACTATATAGTAACTATATATTATAGAGTACTTTATACTGCAGTACAGTTACTATATAGTAACTATATATTATAGAGTACTTTATACTACAGTACAATTACTATATAGTAACTATATATTATAGAGTACTTTATACTGCAATACAGTTACTATATAGTAACTATATATTTTAGAGTACTTTATACTACAGTACAATTACTATATAGTAACTATATATTTTAGAGTACTTTATACTACAGTACAGTTACTATATAGTAACTATATATTACAGTTACTATATAGTAACTATATATTATACAGTACTTTATACTACAGTACAATTACTATATAGTAACTATATATTATAGAGTACTTTATACTGCAGTACAGTTACTATATAGTAACTATATATTATAGAGTACTTTATACTACAGTACAGTTACTATATAGTAACTATATTATAGAGTACTTTATACTACAGTACAGTTACTATATAGTAACTATATATTACAGTTACTTTAGAGTTACTATATATTACAGTTACTATATAGTAACTATATTATAGAGTACTTTATACTGCAGTACAGTTACTATAAAAAATATTACAATACTAATACAGTTACTATATAGTAACTATATATTACAGTTACTTTAGAGTTACTATATATTACAGTTACTATATAGTAACTATATCTGATGATAGTGAAACACAATGTGGCCAACAGGTTGGCCTGTGATTGGTTGAAACCAACTTCCTGTCTTCGTCTCCTGCAGGTTCTGACTCAGCTGACTCCGCCCCTCATCGCGGAGATGGACGCGTTGCTCGGGAACAGGCCACGAAATGGCAAGAAGGAGGCGAGGAGGAGCTGAGGAGGAGGAGGAGGAGGAGAGGAGGAGGAGCTGAGGAGGAGGAGGAGGAGGGGAGGAGGAGGAGGAGGGAAGAGGAGCTGAGGAGGAGGAGGAGGAGGAAGAAGAGGAGGAAGAGGAAGAGGAGGAGGGAGGAGGAGGAGGAGGAGGAAGAGGAGGAGCTAAAACCTTTAATAAAGTATGAAGATGGCCAACCGTGAGGAGGAAGCACTCGAGGAACAATAACTAATATTTATTGTTCAGGGACGACGACGTCTCCGTCCTCGTCGTCATGGAGACAGAGACAAGAGAAATATATCAGAAGTATTTATTCTTATATTAATCCGTGAGTGCAGAGCTCCGGCTCACTGTGACGCATTAACAACCTTTATTAAACTATAATTCAGTGTTTAGTCTCATTATTACAGTTAATAATCAATAATCAATAATCAAATCAGATGATTGGACCAACAGAAGGTCTTTAATGAACTTTAAATACAGAAAATGTTTAATAAGAAGAGGAAAAAAAGATAAACGATGAAATACACATTAATGCGTCTCCGTGGTAACAGGCATCACCGTGGTAACAGGCGTCTCCGTGGTAACAGGCGTCACCGTGGTAACAGTGGCTGTCTGCCTGTGCTCGGCTCTGCACTCTCCTGTATCCTCTGACTGTAGTTACTGTATGGATCTATATTTATGAATGTAGTTCCTGTAGACCAACCTCGCGACCTTTCAGGGGTCACGACCTTTCAGGGGTCGTTCAACCATGACTCATTCATTCTTTAACTCATTTTAAAGTTCTGCCTCATTGATTTCCAGATGGATCATTAATATAAAACCTCATTATAGATTATATAAGGTTATATATATAGATTATATAAGGTTATATATATAGATTAAATAAGGTTATATATATAGATTATATAAGGTTATATATATAGATTATATAAGGTTATATATATAGATTATATAAGGTTATATATATAGATTATAACCTTATTATGGTTCAATGTGAGATTGATACATGTTGAACTTTTACTAATTAGACATCAGGTTGTTTTTTAATAAATAAAAATAATGTATATAAAACATATAAATGTATATTTTCTCTAAACACAGAAACATCTGTTTAGGCTCAGATATTAACCTCAATAAGCAATAAATACCCCATAATAAGAACATATTATTATTTATCTCTCATTAATAATCATTATTAAAGTTTAACCCTTTAGCAACACTGTGGGACTGTTACCATGACAACGCCCCCCCCCCATGTATACCAATAAAGTTATTCAAACCTACAGCCGGCGTCTCTCTGTCTGTCTGTCTGTCTGTCTCCATGGCAACCCCACTGAGCTGAGCAGGGATTGGCTGATTCATATGTAGGGGTGGACGGGCATCGTCCCGGTGGGCCGTTGACCCAATGTGGTCCGGTCCGTCCGCTATGTTTTTGGTTTTCTTTCTCTCTCTAAATTCCCTCCAGTTGGGCCAGTTGGCTACAGAGGGCTAGCAGTGTGTTGCCAGCATCGACACATATTATTGGTCTATGTTTGTCATTGTCAATCAATCAATGCTGTCAATCACAACACAAACCAGGGTGGGCGGGACCTCATGGCATGGGCCGGAGTGGCGGGAAGGGCTGCTGCTGAGCTGAAGATGGATAACCGTAAGAAACTTAAAAAGCTGAAGTCTCTGGAGGTGGAAGCTGCTAAATGTTGGACATTGACAGACCTATTTGGTGCCGGGGTCACCACCCCAGCAGGTGCTGCTGCGCCGGGAGACGAGCGAGTGGAGGCAGACATGGTGAGTAACGTTAGCCTGGTTGTTCCATTGAATGTGATGGGACCTCATTAACTGCATACTTGTGACAACATATTAGCCCAGAGTGGAAGGGCTGGGACTGTTGGTAGTTGTGCTTGATTTGGTTTAAATATGCCGAATTGGGATATTATGGGTTATAGGCCCTTTGCACATGACGTCACACAACTTCCGGTCTGGAGCGAAGCAGCGTATCCTGACTTCCGTCTTTGCTTCCGCTATCTCACTGAGCGGTGTTTCCAAAATGGATTTCACACAGTCACTCCTCAAGCTCCCAACATTTCGTTTAGGAGACGTACACAGACTGGCAGAAAAGTTCTCAAAGACTCCAACCTCTAAACCCGACAAGTTCTTTATAGAACAGCACCTGTTTGATTATCAAGGTAAGTGTTTTGTCGTTAGCGCAGAAGGGTAATGATAACTTAACGTAGGCTACAGGCGTTTTGATCATCTATTAGTTGTCTGTTTCTCGATTAGGTTGCTATGGTAGCTTTATAAATATTATTAACAGCTGTTACCAAGTCGTGCCTTGAATATAGTTTAATATTGTTTAGCCTTCAATGCCGAGCCTTCTCCCACCTAACGTTGTTTGGAACAGTGTCAGCCGCTGTTGACCACTCAGTCACAGTGAGAGCACGCTGTCACAGCTCAGTGAAGAAAAACGAGGAGCCTCATTATCTCCAGCTTTTTTAATAGGATTTTCGGGCTCTTTTGTTGTGTTATGCTGCGGTTGCAGACTTTGCAGTATCCCACGAAGTTCCACTGTGGGTGTAGTGTGTTTCTCAGTCTCATGTCAGTATTTTAGGAGCCACAATCAATAAAACAGCTGCACACATAACTGTTGAGGCCTAGGTTAGTTGAGGACAGCAAAGACTGAGAAAGACACTGTTGACGAGTGTTTACATGCGCACTAATAATCAGTGTATTATTGTATTTCTGGATTATCATTGAAGTGGCCATGTCAGTTCAATTCAAATAACTTCATGTATCCCAGAGGAGTAATTGAACAGCACACTGATCATTATTCTGGGCATGTAAATGCACTCAATGAACTGTTCCATAAATGTATATTCTGTCACGTTACTGTTTTGATCATTTAGAAATGATGAACTTAAAACATCATGTCTCTATTTCCAGTTTACAATTGACTCTGGAGAGGACCCCGTGGCACTGGAGTGCATGGCATGTTCCTGTGCCGCAGGTAAAGCTCTGTGTAATCACATGGTAGCCCTGCTATTTCAGACAGCACACTACAGTACCTTGGGGTTCAAGACTGTGCCATTGCCACTGTCCTGCACCAGCATGCTGCAGACCTGGCAGATATTTATATTTACTACTCTTGAAAATGAAGGACTTGCAGTTCTCATTGCCTGTATTATTATTATTATTATTGTTATTATTATGATTGTTGTTATTATTATTGTTATAGGGATTGCACCAGAGGCAACAAATGATATGACAGTGTGTAAGCCCAAAACAAAAAGAAGCGTAAGGACTGGTGCAAAGTGCACACTGTACAGAGCATATGCTGGTGAGTTTGAATGAGTTTTACTCTCCTCTTTATACTCTTCTATTCTCATCTTCTGTCCTGTCTTTGTTTACTCTCATCCTCTTTCCTCTCATTTACACTTTCTCTATTTTTGTCAGGGCCTC